TTTGGCTGCGTAACAGGTCCGGTTGACAACCGATCGTAACCGTTGTTGGATTAGATTAGTTACGTCATCACCTTTGAATGGAAGACAAATCGTGATCTCCAATCTAGACGCTGACGCAACAACTGGCTTTTCAATCTTCAATCTACTGTGTTTGTCAACAAACGCCTCGGGATAACCATTTCTTGTTAATGTGTGACCTAAAAAACTGATCTCGTTTGATATCGTGTCATCAGTGCAAATTCGACGGGCTCTATCGAATAGGGTATGAACAAGACCACGTTTGTATGCAATTGGCACAAAACTTCCAAAGTGCATATACTGACCTGTCCAAGTTGTTTTACGATAGACCGATCGTGACATAGTTCCATCTGCATTTCGGATGATATTGATGTCAAGGAAGCCCAGGCTATTGTTCTGTTCAGTTTCTATGCTGAATCGGATGTTCGGATGTAGTCAATTTAGACCTTTAGGGTATTATTGGCCTGTTTCACATTATCCGTGATAATGAGAATATCGTCAACATATCTTCTGTATAACAGCCTGTTTTAGTAAATTCTGAGCTTGAGATTCCAAGTGTGCCATGAATAAATCCGCACGTACTGGTCCCACACACACACTTGGAATCTCAAGCTCAGAATTTACTAAAACAAGCTACGTTATACAGAAGATATGTTGACTGTTGGCTGGGTGTTGTAAACAGTGGCGCTCATGTATCTACGCATTATTCTTGTAACGTCAGTATATATGAATTCGCTATCTTTCGCTTGAATTTCCTCTAATTTTTCTCTAATCTTCATCTTGCTCTTTTATCCAGGTAGGCAACCAAAAGCCAACAACCAAAACCGGAGCACGAAAGTGCATGGGTAATGGTTGTAAAAACTAAACTAAACGGAACTAAACATTCCTCTCTCTGTTCCGTTCATCACTTGTTCCTCGCCACTACCGATCTCATATGTAGGTCATTAGACCCTCTCTCTTTCTCTCTCTCTCTCTCTCTCGATATACATATATGTTTGAATGAATAAATAACCAGGAGCCTGTTCGCAGCTGGAATAGTTGATGCAGAGGTGATCCAATGTCGAATGGTGAGATCTGGGGTAGCTTTCGTCGAACTGCGACACCTGTGATACCTTCATGACTCTATCGTAAGGATATATCGCAAATAGGCGCATGGCATTTTGGTAGCCTATTACGACATTTAACTGTCACATACAACTAACTTTCCATGCACCTTAGCTTCAAGCTCGGTTCACACTCTGTCCATTAGGGTATGGATACAATACTCAGTTCTGCAGTCTCCTCTTGTTTGTTTCTTTGCTGGATTTCGTGGAACACTTTATTGACCGAACTAGCAGGTTTCTGTCCCACCGTATCCGTAAGCACCATCTGCTTGGATCAGAGGCGGGATAATGAAGTCGCGCAAAAGATTGGCGATTTCTCTCTCTCCTTTTTTAACACTGGTCGCGCAGTAAATGTGACCTAAACAGTCTGACTCACGTGAAACGTCAGGGTAAGTTTCATTGTAACCAACTGTCAACCGCCATCTCCATATATATATATATATATATATCGCACGTCTGACGCAAGACTGTGCCAAACAAATCACGGTACAATGATCTTATGAAAAAGAACAGCGTTCCATGATTTGCATGTGGGTTGAGTACTGCCGGGTTGCACAGGCCAGGGCAGATGAATGGTCCTGGGAAATCCACACCCGCAACTTTCGGCTAACCAAAACCTGACCCGCAAGGCAGCGGCGGGCGGTTTGTGAGAACCGCAGTCCATTGGGGGCCGGTGTCCAGTTCATTGGATCATTCGCCTTTCGGACGGGGTCAAACGTCCAAAGTGCTCAGTACACCTCGATGTTCGATCGAGCCGGTAACTACTGCCACAGCCGGAACGTTTGGGTGTTTTTCGTACGTCTCCCCATGGTTGGTTTGCAATCATGGTTTCGGCCAACTCCCTTAGATGAATTACTAGTGATCTACCAACCTGGTTATAGCCCCGGGTGTCGGGTTTTCGTCCTCTCACTGTGGTGGGCAAACACCTCCGCTAGCACGAGAAGGTAGTGAGTAGGGTTTCCTCAGCAGAGGCTATTCGAGACGCTTGGTCATATGGGAGCATTTCGAGAGGTGCAAGGGAAGGGTGACGAGCCGCAACCCGAGACACCCACCCCGGACCATACTGAGACTTTTGGACCAATCAAAAGCTCTGCAGTTCAAACAGGATTCGTGCAAAAAGACGAATAAGAAAAGCGATTGCTTTAATGCTTGTTCACTTAGTGGTATTCTTCAATGAATATTATATAATCTTGCTTTCTTTTATCAACTTAACGGCTTTTACATCTCTGGTTTTCTTCCCGCTTCTCGGTGTAGAGAGAGAGAGCTTAAAAGCAGTACAATTTCGATTATTGATCGGCCTATATTTGCCTTCATACAGTGGCTCACCAGGTTACAATTCATAAACGACCTCGGTTACAACGCTGCTGGAGTGATTGGTTTTTTGTGTTGAACTTTGAATGGGATGGCCATAAGCTTGCATGCATGTACTCAGACATTTTCGTATGTACGGCTTATACGAATTTTCCGACACAAAGGGCTGCACGTTGTAGGGCTAAGGTGAATCTTACTCGTTCCGGTCTTTATGCATCCATATGACCAAAGGTCCTGATCGTGTGCAGCTCAGGGGTGAAGAATTTAGGTCCCCCCTGGATCGAAAGTTCCCGTTTCAACTCGCGCTCAGAACGTAAAAAATGGTGCGCATTGCGGAGAAGTAGAAAAATGAAATCGCAACGAAGTTGCATTAGGTGTATGAGAGTAACGGAGGATATGATTTGTTCATATGATCAATTCGTCGTGTAAAT